AAATTAGAAAAATCTGTAAAAACATCGATGTTTCCATTCGAACATCCATTCGAACTGCCATCGATGTAATTTTTCGAAACATCGATTCTTCAAACATCGATGTTTTCACCGTAATTTACATCCCTAATTTGTGAAAACAATGTTCAAGGCTCTATTGGGCAAAAAATTCGAAATAGCATTGCGTAGATTCTCAATGATTTGCCTTTTTGCGAAGGCTTTTCATCAAAAGTCTTTGCGAATCGGTGCGAGTGTCTTTGTAATTTAGCCATGGCTACGCTACAGGAGATGAAATGTAATCCAAATTGAGGCAAATCTATTTTTGGCGAAAAGCTGATAAAATGTAAGGTTTCGCATTTTAGCATATTTTAGCCATAACGAAAGTTAGAATCCGGCTGCGGGTCGACACAGTTGGCTTTTTGATTTCGAAAAGCACTTCATCAGAAAGAAACGCAATGTTTTCAGATCTAAATATTTCAGCATCCTTTCTAAATTGTTTTCCACAATTTTCGTCCTTTTTTTCATAAATAATTGCAAAAAAGAAGCGTTTTTTCTTCTAAGAGTTTCGTGGAACTTTCGGACTGAATATATTTTTTATATCTTTAATTGAACATGCACACTGTACATAAAGGAAGTACATAATCCAATTAAAAAATATATGTATTTTTTTGCTTTTTTCAAAGCTCATTTTGCCTTTTTTCACTACGTGTTCCTAATTAATCAATCTTTGTATATTTATTGATTCCTGCAAAATTGGCCCATGTAATGGGCTGTTTTTGCTTACGCGTAAAAGCACATTTAGCGCATTTAGCTCTAAACGCTACTCTAAATGTACATTTATCCGTACAAAATTCGTCACCTAAATGCAACTAAATCGAACTCCATTTTTGCATTAAGAATCTACATAAATGCTAAAAGCAACCCTGTGATCTTCCAAAATTTCCACCATTCGAACATGGTTTAATGAGAAAAAGTGGCAATATTGCTTTTTCGCGTATACAGTTTCTAGTTCCGTTTCAGTGAACGCCAATCAAGATTTCATTTATTATTTTACATTATTTGGAAAAAGAAAAGTGGCGCAAATTCCACATTGATGTGATACTGATTGGAAGCTGGCTCAATTTGTGATCAACTCTGATTATTGTTTTCCTATTTAATTGAGGAAATTTCAGTTGACAGCACCGACAAATGAATATATACACAAACAATTTTTCGGCTATGGTTAAAACAATTCAAGTTTTTGTATTGAATTTTTTGTTCAAAATTTTCAGTAGGGTTTTTGCACATTATCTTCTCTGTGCGAATTGATCGTGATAGATACGGATCTGAATAAGCGACAGGAACACGGCTGTTTGTCAAAAGCTCGCGTAAATGTACATTTGCTAAATGCGATAGCATGAACGCTCTTCGAAAACATATGTTCGAAAATGCTAAATGTTGAATTTTTAATGCAGCAAAACCGCTGCATNAAACTCATTGTTCTTCGCCAAATTCTTTGTTTACCCGTTGCCGTAAATGTCATTCTGCGGGAATGCGCAATCTTGTATTCCATCGTTCTTGGCTGTTTGTCATAAGCATACGATTTCGAACTCGCGTAAATATACATTTGCTAAACGCGATAGCATGAACGCTCTTCGAAAACATATGTTCGAAAATGCTAAATGTTGCAAACACGCTGCAATAAGCTTTCTTTCTTAATAGTTAGTTATCTCAAATTATCACTAATTTCTGCGGGAAACCGTTTCTTAATCCAAAAAATTAGCAGCGCTCTCTTGTTCTTACGCTCTTATTTTTTTGGCTAGTAAAATTTTACTAGCATTAACCAAATATTTTCAATAGTCAAATGCACCGATCAGCTGTTTACTTGGTAGTATCTGCTAGTTTTCCAATAAAAGCGCCGCAAGCGAATATATGTAATAAAAGATCGCGTGATGTTTGATTACAAACTTTCATTATATCTCAAGGTATTGAATTAAAAAAAAGCGCCGCAGGCGAAAATTTGTTATAAAAAATCGCGCCATTTTTTATTACAAATTTTCACTTTAGAATAAAATATGGTTTAACCTTGAAATTTATATTTTAACATAGTTTATATTTCGTAAGGTCTCACAAAGTATTTTTGGGTAAAGTCT